CCCCTCTGCACCCCCTCCTTCCCCTTCACCTGGGACTTACATCAGCTTTTTGCATAATTTCTGGGGAAAACGTTTGTGTGTTGGCGCAGAAAGGATGCCATGCTACTGCACGTGAGACAGTTCGCATTAATGCACATTCTGGCTGCAAGGCCTTTAATATTCATTCTGTAGTCAAGAGTAATTGAAAACACTCATTTGACTATTTACAGTTCAGGAGTGGGTAGGATAGTATGAAGTACACTGCTGGAGTGCTATGGGTAAGAGAAGAAAATGACAGTCACTTTGGGGAATCGATTGCCTCTTCTTCCTTTTAAGGTTCTGATCAGCCTGCAGGGAGCTGCTCACCATCTCACCTTCCAAGCGGTTCAGTACAAGCTGAGGATGCTCAGCAACTCTCAGACGTTGCTTTACATTTTACATGCCCTGAAGGGGTAACCCTAAAGGTCTCAGAATCACTTTTTTTTAGTTCAACAGTTCATTCATGCTGTCGTCACCAACTACAATGCTGAAAAAGTCTTTTTTTATTAATGCCAGTGTGTTCCATGCCATTAATAGCACAGTTCATACTAGATGTTACACCTATAACCAGATCCATACGTTTACACTGTGAAGTTCCCATGAAATGTGACGTAAAAATAACCATAAGAGCCAAACCAACAGGGTTTATAATGTCATCTCATGACTAGGATATATATGTAACAGGCTTACAAATATTATTAAACAGCCTAGGCATAAAATCTGTTTGACATGTACCTTAATTTTAATGATTATCCACTTGTCAAAGAGCAAAGACTAGCCATTGGTGAGTAGAACCTTGCAAAGCCGGTGTTTTTCTTTTGTACTGCTCAATCTTCCTACTTTGCGTTTTTATACTGTTAACAGATGTTTTTTCTTCTTTGTTCCTACAGAGAGCTCATGGCACCTCTCTTCTCTCCTAAAAACGTACACCTACATTGGCCGCAAGATTTTAGCTTCTCCTTTAAAAACTAAAAAGGTTACTCAATAGGAATAAAAATTCCCATAACATAACATAAAAATAAAGGTAAAGCCAATGGGACTACAGATAAGAGTTGTTGTAAATAATACTCAACTGTAAACTTTGGAATTTCAGAAATCATTGTTATTTTTTTTTTCACTCCTAGAAGGCATGGAACTATATTACATGCTTCAGAGTTATATGTAAAATGAAATGATAAACCACATCCATATTAAGACATATGCATTGCTAAAATACTTTCAAGAATTGATCCATTGTGTACAGCTGAGGAGAGAAAGAATACGCATCCTATTGCAGGAAACTATTGTACTTCCATAGCCACCAAAGGAACTCTGACAGCAGGATAAATTCTTTTATCAGATAACTAAACCTCAGATTTTCTACCACAAATGCTTGGAATATGTTGTCATTTGTTGTAAGTCATGGTCTGGTTAAGATGATCCATTCAAGGTTACCCATAATGTATTGTTATTTACATTTTGAGGTATTTCTTTATGAGTTTTATTCTCATGCAGGTAGATTATAATATTAACTATGTAGTCAAAAGTCTTAAAACCTTTTCATGTCTTCAGGCCTAGCTTAGAGTCACATTGGCGGTTTCTGGATCAGGCCATGTACCTGTCTGCTGCTGAAAAGATTCATTGTCCCTCTTTATTTAATGAAATAATCTGATCAATATCAATGTTTGAGGTAAAAGCAGAGAAGGACTGTTCAGTTTCACCCAAGGGAAAATTAGGACAGGCATCAACAAAAAATTCCGTTCAGAAGCTGATGTCTGCAAAAATACCTTCTTCTGGGTTAGAAAACTTGTTTTCAGCAGCAAGAACTAGGTAAGAAGAGTGAGAATGAGAAAAAATTCCTTTACTCAGAATCTCAATTCAAACATCCAATATCATATCCCAGACATCAGGTCTTGAATCGCGCTGGCCTGAACTTGCAGGACACCTCCATGCCAGATACTGTCTAGAGTAAGACGGTCCCTATCACCTTTCCCACACAAACAGGTCCTTGAAATTACTGTGCCATTTAGACATACTTTAGGCTGACTTGGGTTAGAATGCTTTCCCAGCCCAGAAAGCATTTAAATACTTCTCCTCCGTGAAGTACTGAGGGAAAACAAATGCGTAACCGGTTCATCTTCTACATTTGTTATTTATCTAGGATCTGAAAATTAAGGAAAGTTTTATTCTATTTAGTATTTATTGTAAACTACGGCAGTCAGTTAAGTAAGATATTTTATTATAAAATGCTTCATAAAAAATACATTACTGTTGATCTTAGATTAAACAATTTTGAGAGCACTGTTTGTACTTATATGCAGAAACTGGACACTTCTGATCCCATTACGAAAATGTACTTGACCTTTATTTTTCTTTTCTTATGAGGCATGAATTTTAATAAGGCCTTAAAGTCCTCACTCATGCCAGTACACTGCATTTCCTGTTACCGCTTTTGTTCTCATGCGGCATTTGGTTAAACACTTCAGCTGAATATGAAAATGAGAGCACTGCATAAGTCTGGTTCCATTTTTTGACAAAACTTATAAAGAAATATTTTTAACTTTGTTATGAAACATTTATCTTTAATATATATTTATATATTTACTATATAAATGCTTAATACATCAAAGGGAGATTAATTGAAAAGTGCACCTCAAAGACCATCAGCAATAGTTGAAGTGAACTGAACATGTAAATTAAAAATACGTTGTTGCTACGTGGAAAAACAAAGAAGTTGAGGCATGATTAGATCCTGCATCAACAACTTGTGTTTTATTTTGCTTGGTGATATTCGTGAGTAACCCCATTGTTGTGAATGGAGCTACACTGGGTATAAACCACAACCCTGAAAACTGATCTCCCAGACTTTCCTTTGCCTCTTCACCAGAGGTGTCTGTCCTGCGGGACGCTGCACGTGCCTGCGCCCAGCATGGGATGCTGCGGGACTGGGACCGGAGCATTCACCACCTCCCTGTATGCCTCTGGAAAGTCTTCCTCTAGCAAAGGTCTCCCATTATTGCACTCTGTTTGTAACTTAAAAAATAGAATTAAATCTCCTGCAAGAATGGTGCCATATCCTCTAAATTGCCTGACAAGCAGGCAGCGCACAGGCAGCAAACTCAGAGCAAACAGGCCTTGCTTTCACAGCCTCTTCAAGGGAAAACCTATGTAAATTCTCTTGTCCTGCACCATGTTTTTAATTACAGTTTAAATGGTCATCTGTGTTACACCTTGTAAAATTGTGAAAGTATCATTCTAATCTTAATTTGCATTAGAATATTGATTGTAAAACTTTATTTATAGTAAGAGATTTCCCACAGAATAAAAACCTGTCTTAAATCAGAGGAGCTGTAGAAGAGGTGTATTTTGTAAAATTATATTCATAAAATTTTATAACACACATATGTATGTATACACATACATATATGTATATATATTATATATATGTGTATATATAATTTAATTATCTTTTATATGTATTTCTGGGATGTATTAAAAATGTTGTGTTTTTAATTCTCAAAATATATTTTATTAATTAGATTTTCAAATATTCTCTTTAGAATGCAAACTGCATTGCTGTTCTCAAATGAATAATTAAATTTGTATTTTAAGTGGTGCCATTAATTAATATTTAGAAAAAGAAACACTAATTTGGAGAAATACATTATTTTACTAGAAAGGGAAAAAACCTCTTTCTGCTGATTCACCCCTTAAAAATATATTTGCCTTTTATTATTTCTTTAAATAGAAATTTAAATACATTTACTTTAATGATTTATCAAAACAATGTGTTTGTAAATAATATTAGTAGCATTTGCATCTTATATAATGTTTTGCATCTTTTGAGGCAGGAAGGTAAGTTTTATTATCTTCATAACTTTACAAATTGGGGAGAATTTTGAATTTTGCATTTGCAAGGTAACCTTCCAGCAGAAAGGTATTTTTTAATGTTTACATTCCTAGTGCTTCAGACACCTTCTGCCTCATCAGAAACTTCATGTGGTTGTAGCTGAAGCAGTTTCAATGTTAACCCACGGTTCCCAGCACACGCTTCCTAAATTAGAGTCCCCAGAGAAGCTGAATATTTAGCACCAAGCTGCGGGCAGCTGCGTGTGCCTGGGAGGACCAGAGGGAACTGCTGAAGACGCAGCAGTCCCCCTCTAAGTGCAAAGGACCCTCCACATTTAATCACAGAAAGGAAAAATGGACTCTGAGGTAGAAGGCTAGGAGGTTTGCGCAGGACCAGAGAGGGAAAATGACAGCAGTGAGAGGATAAAAAATGAAGCGCTTTTGTCTCCCACGCTGTGGGCCTTTTTGTCATTGATTTTTACATAGCTTCCCCCATTAAAATCAACGGGGACTTCTTTTTAAATACTGAGGGCAAGATATAACCTATATATATATATAGTTATAACCTCTTTATAACTGAGAGTTTTCAGAAAGGAAACATTTCACAAGCACTTGTTCTGCTGGATTCAGCCTAAAAATTAACCAGTTCATTGGCTAAATTACTATTATTTCGCATCACCACCATTTCCAAAGATGACTCGTTATTTCTGTTGAAGGCTTTGTCAGCCTGAAAGATGAGTGCAGAAATAGAAGTCCTCTGGAGGAGCAGCAGGCTCTGCCATAGAACAGCAATGTCTAACACTGTCACAATCATTTTCTGGTGTGGTTTGCACTGATTCAAAATATAGGAATAAAATGTCTGCATTTGAATAATTGTTTTTGTCCCATGTCATACAGCTGATTTATAGTATGTGTCACTACATTGAATGTTGGTTCATACAACAAAATCATGTTTGAAAATCTGCAGACGCAAATTTAAGTATTTATTAAAAGCTGAGTGTAGCAAAGTTAAGTTGATGTTAACTGCCATAATCACTTGCCTGACTTTTACCAGCAACTTCCAGGTATGTTTAGGAACATATTGCATGAGACAGTATGTGACTTTTGAGAAATGTCTACACACAAGCTTTCATAAACCTTTATTCTGTCTTTAGAATTTGGAATGATGGGAGATCATACAATTAAAAGTCAGCGACCTCGATCTGTTCATGAGAAAAGGGTCCCTCAGGAACAAGCTGATGCTGCTAAATTTATGGCACAAACTGGTAATACATCAGTTACATTTTTCTATTTACTGTTGTTAATTTTAGCAAAACCACTGCATGTTTCCATAATCTTTTGCTGCATATTTGTCAGTTTTCTAAGCTGATACTTTTTTTGAATCATTTATTTTTTTTCCACCAGTTAAAGTCCATAAATAAAGTAGCTGAGAATTAGGTAAATCATACAAAAACATGCACTGTGAATGTGGATACTGAATCGTTTATTGTAAACATGAATTTCTTTATTACTAAAGGCAGTCTTACACATACAAGACACTGGACAGCTTACTTGACATATTGCTTTTTCGAAGAAGATGTTAAGAATATGCTTCAGAATTTCTTTATAAATAGACTGAGGTCTAATCCCAGCTTTAGGCGTTTATCAAATTAATTAATTACTAGGGCGACTTTAATGTGCGTACATTCAGTGCTTACTATCTTTGGCCAAGTACAATGCTCTATTCTCTAGTTTCCAGATTCATAATTGCTAAATGAAATTGGCCATAAGTACTTTTTAATTGGATGTGAAAATTATCTAGCAGTTTTTCATCTAAAACATATTTTCTAATTTTGTTTAGCAACTGCATCTTCTTTAGATAAGGATACCAAAATGATATTACAAACCTAGAGCTGAAGTAATTAAAAAATAAAAAAAAGCCTGTTTACCAACAGTTACCACAGCTGCCTTTGAGGTCAATGATGACGTTTCAGTGCTGAGTTGAATTAAGCTCTCATACAGCAAAACTACTGCCCATTTTGACATCAGTAGTGATCTGTGTATCTGTTGGTAAAATCTAACTCTTTAACGGTTCCCTACACACTCCATTCCAGTAAGTTAGGGTGTTGAAAATCTTGTGCCCCATAATTATTGTATGGATTTGAAACAACTTACCCTGTATTCCATAGTTACTAACCTAGAAAATATGCCTGCATCGGTCATACATAATGCTTCCAGTTTAAAATTCACTTTAGTAAAAGAGCTATAATTGCTTCTAGTTACGTTGCATGTTGACTTCCTTAGTCATAGGGTGCTTTTCTTAACAGATTTGCAGAAATCAATATATTAAGTAATCTAAATACATCTATAGCCAATCAGCGGAGATCTGCTTGGTGAAGAATTTAGAAGGGGAAAAAGTCTGTTTCCCTCCTATTAATCTATAGAACTACTTTTATGGCTAACTCCCAGTTGATACTACTGTAAGCAAATGTAGTGGAAGAAGGGAGCCTAGAACCCTCTTGGTCTCCATGCAGTTTTTGTTTAGGCAAGTAGAACTTATTACTTACATACTTAGCTCAGACTTACAATGTTATTTGCTTACTACATAGAATAACACCTTTGCTTTTACGCTGCTTCTTGAATTCATACAATTACTCCAAAAAATAAGTTAGATGATCTGTTTTATTTCCTCATATAAATCCCTAAAACTTTCATATTATCAGGTAAAACTTGAATTTCATAATTTCTAGTCGTGCATTGCAATGCATCTATTATGGGTGTTAGACAACTGCATTATAAATGCAGCACTTATACCATCACCTTCTGATAGATTGTGTGTGTGGAGTGGGAGATGAACGTTCAAAATTATACAGGCTTGGTTTTCAAGGTCCTGTTCTGAAAGCATGTGAGATTTATCAGCAGAACATATAAATGTACATGCCCAACTTTAAGGAAATCTATATTTTACATAATGTAGGTTAACACATTTTAAGTAATACTGTGCTCTTTTTGGACATACTTACTAATTTTCATCTCTTCTTCATTTTGATTTTCCTTTGTAGTGATCATTGCATATTTTCTTCACCTCTAATGCATTCATTTTCTTGTGATATAATTAATGTGATACCTTCTTAAACTGATTCATAAGGTTTTTTCTAACAAACATGTCTATCTCATTAATTTACCCATGTACTAAGAAGTCTAATAGCCTTTAAGGTAAATGGATGCTGAGTTTATGAGGTTTCTTATAGTTTAAGCCTGTTTAATATTTTATTTTGTGTAATAATAAAACAGATGCAAAAGTGCAACAAAATGTTTGTATGGTTTAAAAAGACAGAAAAACAGGAATAGAGAATTGTCCTGAAAAAGATTTATGAAAAGCATTTAATACTGTTAGAATAGTGGACTTTCTCCACCGAATTTTGCTGGGAATTGAAGAGTTTTAAAATGTGGTGTTATAATATGCATTTTCCTGTTTGTTTGTGAGTGATATGAGGCAGTAAAACATTTTATTTAAAAAAAAAAATTGAATAATTTATTGTCCTATATTTGTCATTTTATGTGTTTGGACTGATCCTTCCCTTAGGTGTTATGGGATTTAGAGAGTATAATACAGGTAAGTGTTACACAGATCAATGAGGCCTTCCGTACAGTAAGTTATGTTTCCTCTTACATGTCAAGCAGCAGGGGAGAATGACGGCTTGGTAGCTTGCCAATAATTAATTTGAGATTGTAGGTTTAACACGGTCAATACAAAAATCTAAGAGTTCTCAAGTAACCGAAAACTAGAAGTGAAATAAAAAGTAGCCCTTTTGAAATTTTCATTTCAGAAAAGAAAAAAATGGAAAAGAGATAAAGAAAACAATGGAAGATTTATTTGCAGATTATGTAGGCAATCTAGGTTTATTCTAGAAAATAAAGAAGTCTATTTGCTTATATTAAAAATGGTTAACTATGGTATGATATGTCTGCAAAGATCTTTCCCTTCTTTAAAATATTTTAAAATAAGTAATAATCATACTGACAGCAGTACAAAATACTCTGAAAAGTTAAAAATTACCAAAAAAACATAATGCATTGTGCAAAAGGAAGTGGAGTAGCTGGTGAGATAAATTTGTTCTTTATTTTCTGTTTTCACTCTTTTTGCACATAACATCTTGTTAGTGTGGAGGATCTTGCTCCAGCAAAGATTTCAGCCTTTACCTACATTGAAATATATTGCTAGAGTCTTTGTGAATTGACAATACAAATATGCTCAGGACTTTTATTAATTAATATTAATTTCAAAATTCACTTAATACAATCACACTTCTTAGTATCATGTTGCTGCTATTATTCATTATATTCCAAGGCTTAAAAGCAACTTTTTATCACTTTAAGCTTTCCAACATTTTAAATTTTTAATACTTCATTTCTGTATTTTGTTAGCTATGCACCATCACCATGCCTGTGTTGGATAATGGATAATTTACACTGAGTATATATGACTGTTTTACATAATGAGGAACATCTGGAGAAACATAGCTCTGACTTTTTCTGCTGTTTGACCTTTCATCTAAACAATTTTAACAAAAGCAAAGACAAGCTTCAAACATGTAGGAAAAGACAAAAAAAAATTAGACTAGAAACCCATAGTCATACAAGTATTTTTACCATTTACATAGAGTTTATAGTACACGTATAATTTACTGTCTACCTATATAGTAGCTTGTCATGGTTTAATCTCAGTCGGCAACTGAGCACCACGCAGCCGCTCGCTCACTCCCCCCGACCCGGTGGGATGGGGGAGAGAATTGGAAGAGCACAAGTGAGAAAAACTCATGGGTTGAGATAAAAACAGTTTAATAATTGAAATAAAATGATAATAATAATAATATGATAATAATAAC